TGTATCACCATTAAAGGTCACATGATATAAAATTTTATTGCATTTTTGAGCATAACTTACAATTTCTGAGTTTTGATATTTTTCCCAAAATTGGCCACGAGGCGCAGCAAGTTGCGGGACTAGGTGACTTGCACCATATAATGAATTATAATTAATTAAATATAAATTTATTATGAATCAATTTTCACTCTCCAAGTAAAAACAAACACACACCTATGTTCTTTAAAACGCGATCTTTTATATGCCAGTAGCTCTGCTGGTTACGGAATAACGGCTTCTCAGAGAACCCTATATCTTTTGACTTCAAAGACACCATTCTTTTCAGAAAACAGCTTTAATAAGATCGATTTAGCATGAAGGATAGAGTACATTGAGAGCTTCCAGAAAGTGTATGGCTTGCATGAGGGTTTATGAAGGATGAAGTAATTAAAGGCAAATTCATTTTTATAAGTTATTTATAAGAATGTAGCTTTATTTTTTTTTCACCAATACCGATAATTTTTAACTTTTATGTATATATTAATGATAGGTGAGAGCCTCCAGGTTTTATGGAGGAGGAAGAAATTAAAGGCAAAATCATTTTTATAAGTTATTTACAATAACTTTGTTTTTTTATTTTATTTTCACCAATACCAATAATTTCTATATACAAATTATCAATGATTAGGCAATATAAGCAAAGCACAACAATATATAGGACAAACTTTGTTAAAGTGTATGCAGATATATATAAGGTCATAGGAGATATTTTTATTCTATTTAATAATTATTATTAATGAAATTACAAAATAAGATCATTACTATATTAATAAAATCTTTTCCCTGTCAAAGATCACACCTATTTATTAATTTCTTTATATCTGCTAAAGAAAGAACTCATTAATCAAAGAAATCATTAAATCTAACCTCCTGTTAACAGAATTGATTTTCATTATTATACCTTCTTATTGATATTAATATCATTAATATCTAAAAAAGAGAGAATTAATTTTTTGTTATTTATCTAAAAAAAAGAGAATCAATTTTTCATTATTCATACCTTCTTATTGACATCTATTAATATTATTATCATTAATATCTAAAAAGAAGAAGTTAATTTTTTGTTATTTATTATTATCTATATATTAATATTATTATCATTGACATCTAAAACGGAGAAAATTAATTCTTCGTTATTCGTACCTTTCCCATCAATATTAATAATTTTTTGTTTCTTATCAATATCTATTGATCATGCATTTTTCCTTTTCTGCCATAGTCATTCTAATCTTTAGGAACAAAACACTTAGTTTGATTATTTGAAATAAACACAATAAAGCACTATTATATCTAAGAGTCAAAAGTTTAATTTTTGTTTTTATTTGAATTTACAAAGTTCGAATTCTCTCGCTATAATTTGTTATATAGAAGTGGTGACGTCATTAATAACTGAAGATATAACTTTGAACAGGCCATTCTTTTCCGTTTCCTTAACAAACTATAGCTGAAATTTTGCAATGTGATAAACTAAATCTCAAGCAACATATGTACAAAGAAGAATCACACTCCCTGTTCAGAAAAGTCATGTGTTATACTAAAAATTTCTTTCGATTTTTAATAGTAAAAATCGAAATGTTTCACACAGATACAGAATAGACATATCGATCCTGTGGAATCACGAATGACTTATAGTTATCAATTCAAAAAAAACGTGGAATCATTCTTTTTTTTATTGTAAAATTTATTTGTTCTATATTTAAAGTTAGCTTTATTTCCGATCACAATTGAGAGTAAAAGTTTTTTTCTATGAATAAAGTGTTTAATTCAAAAAGGAATAAATTATTCAAGAAAAAGATTCATATGGTGCAGATCATCTATAATCATTAATTGCTTATAGTAACAATTGGTCAACTTCAAAATACTAAAACAAAAAAA